TAAGACAACCTTTACTTTGATCTTATTACATAAGTGAGGAATGTAATTAAGGAATATTCTGGAAATGAAAATGTAAAGGTAATTTTTAAAATATAAAATACAAGTTATTAAGATTTGATTTCTTAGATTTTTTAGTTTTCCAATAACAAACTTTTTGCGTGAGTAAGACCGATTTCTAAAGGTTACAAAAATAAAGACATCCTAACCAAGACTTAGTATCTCTAACCTATATTCCCACAGTGCAAGAGCACTCTCTGGCAGTTATAATTCCTGTTTCCGGTTCAGAATTTTCGTTGATTTGAGCCTTGTCTTGAGTCCATCGGAGAAAGAACTGCCGGCGTCTCCTTGACGCAACGTTCCTTCTGCCTGCCACAACCACCGCTGGTAAATTGATACTTTTTTTGGGGTTCGCATTTTTTGTCAGGCAACCGAAAAAAATATGAAAAAAAAAACGCTGTAAGGGAACAGGACAACTTGGGACTTGAGCTGGGGACTACAAGACCAGCAGCCATCCATATTCATAATGGCGTACTAATTGGATCTTAATTCTGGCATTTTATTTGATTACAAGACCGAATTACGACTGATGAATTTAATTAGCAAGTGACGGGTAAACAGATCGAGGAAAGTGTTGCCCAAGACATTGACACTTGCAAAATAAATTTGCAAAAATTATGCAATTTGCAAAAAAAAAGAGGGGGGAGAAAAAAATTAACGGGGGTTTTATCATCTGGTAATTGATATCTTTCTCCTTCGCTTTCTCTTGGCCAGGCGGCAGTTGTTTAGCAGGAAGCGGACGGCCAACAGTTGGATAAATTAATATCAATCTAAACCAACAATTGTCTCATTTTTCTAATTTTCTCTCTGCCTTTGATCAGATGCATATTCTCCGCCTAAAACCCGCTGGCCAACTGTTTTGTGATTAATGGAATCAGATTGAATTACACGGCTATAGTACAACCTGCAGTCAACAGTTTTGCCCCCCATTTTCTCCCTCTTAAAGCATCCACACACACACACACACACATGGCAACGCTTCTAGAGAGGGGAGAAAACTTCTCAAGAACTGCCTTTAATTGTTTTGGTAACAAAAGTTTCGGCTTGGGAAAAAGTTTTGCCCTCTTGCCGGCACGTACTTTTGTCCAATGGGGAAATTCTTATTTTTTGGCTTGCCTCTTAAACAGGCAAGTTATGTACTTGCCATTCGTTACATAATGGCTATAAATTAGACCAGTGGCAACGACAAGTTCAAGTGCTACGTAAATGAAATTAAATTAGCAATCACACGGTTGTCCCTCGATTGTCAGCTCTACAAGTGATGGATGGCTGACCGATGCGCCCACTTAACAAGATGATTGAGTTTCTAGAGTCAAGATGGAAATTGGAGGAAAACTATTATAGTTGATGGGAAGGAATGTTCTAGTCTTTTGGCAGTAATCTGATAGGTTAGTAAGGTAGGTCAATAGGTAACTAAAGCAAAGTTTTAACTATAATATTGATTACTTTCTTTCACCACAAACATCTTCTAGAGATAGGAGCTGTCTTTGCCCTAAAAAGTTGTCTAGTTTTTGTGTCTTTTCTTAATATTTATATATGGAGTTGCACCCTTTCGTTTGGTATCTTAAGTTTTTAATCTAAATAAACATTCAAACCTTCTTTCTTGCTAGGAAATGCTTAAATCTTAAATTACTCAATTACTTAAAAACCTTCAACACCCCATATTTTCCCATATTTTCTTTAAAATTTCATTTAATTAACATAAAATTAAGCTCCACGAAAGCCCACTTTCATTTCAATCTCCTTAGTTGCTCACAAAAATCTCTTCACAGTAGTTGAATATTTTCATTAAGCGCATAATCAATATTCTGCCACCACCACTTAAATACACCACCCACCCCCCCTTATGCCATTAATCTAGCCAAGTGTGAATTTAATTATGCCCTTGGGCCAGGGAAAAACATTCTGGAACCACAGAAAGTAAGGCCTGGCCTGGTCTGGGCCTGTCAATATATTGCGCCAGTTTTCCGATGTCTCAGCGGCACAACGACAAATTGCCGGTGAGGCAGGCTGGCACTTCAGAGAGTGCAGCCGACTGAACTGGATTAATTCATTCAAATACAGCCGCTAAAGATTTAAGTTAACAACATCAACAAGTTGAAGGGAATGGAATTTTGTAAGCCATTCAATGCATTCGCTTGATTTATTGGCCTATTGCCTAGAGAGGCAGCTTTTATTGATCGCCTTTATTGAATCGCAGATCAATGGCATTCTTTTTTCTATCACTAATTGTTTGGAAAATAACAAATTGACAAAAGCTTTTGAATGCGGAGATTATTCTTAGAAGTTTCAAGCGATTTTTTAGATTAATTTAACCTTGTTTTGACTTTATTTATCAGCCGAGTAACTGCTTGGCGTACAATTTGGATTAAAAACTTTTTTTATGATGCCTTGTCATGTTATTGGTGATTGCGGAAAGATTTTATTAAGTACTAATAATAAATTAATTGAGTTTAACAAGTGGTATGTCTAGTTTGGGAGTGAACTTAAAGAAAGTCTAACTGGGCAACCATTCCTAAAAGGCTTTAAGGTGGTTTTCGAATATCAAAAAAGACATATTCCCTATACAAACTGGATACTTCATCCGTTAACGAAGATTTTCAAAGCCTTGAACTAGTAAGATCTTAGATCTACCTTATATCAATTTCAACATAGCTACAAAGATATCTAAGGATCCGATGACTAAGATTCTCCAAGCTAAGAAAGGATCAAGATCTTACATCTTCCTCATAAAAATTGTCAAACAAATTCTTAGATATCTAAATAAAAGAAGCCTTTGATAGGTTTTTCCAAAGTAAATTACATGGAAGCTAAAATTTGAATAATATTGAGATACTTTACAACCTAAAAGTGGTTTTATCAGTAGTTTTTCATTACTAAAAGTTAACGTAAAGTAAACTAACTGCTGCCTTTCAAGGTTTTGAAAAGATAATAAAAGTTTAAAAATGTAGAACACAAACCAAAATTACAAATAAGCTACCAAAAAACACACAAACGTAAAAATGCCACCCAAAACCTCCCAATTATAATCACAATACTAAATACATAATTCATATATATCATCTAATTACTATTATTTGTCATTGCTAACCAAACCCCCCTCGAAAGCAACATAAACAACGTTTAACTTAATCTTTACCTTAAGTCCTTCCTATTCAATACGAGAAACTGAATAATTTATAAGGAAATGATGTGGCAAGGCAGTTATTGTCCTGCCCCAAAAATAATAATCATCATCGAGAAAAATTGGTAAGCATTTTGTTACCCTAAACTAAGGTTTGCTTTTGCTTTAACATCAACCACTCGTCGTTGTCGTTGTCTTTCATAAAGTTATAACTTGTTCAGCATTTGAAATGTAATATTCATTATTATTATGAATACCGGAAAAGCATATGGGAAATATCCCACGTTTGAGAGTACTTTCTACCTGAGGGAAATGCTGCATTTCTAATTGCCACTGCGCTGCTGCGTACTCGCTACTTGCTACTTGCTACTTACCCAAAATGATTTATAAATGCTCATTTAATGCGCTAAAAGCCGTAAGCATTAAGCTGGTATTCATATGGTTTTGTGGAAAACTGAAAATGGGAGTTGGAGAGGAAACTGCGTGTGTGGTTTTGCCTTTTTCTCCGTTTTCGCCTTTTTCCTTGGCCAGGCGAGAAAAGGTGAACTTCTGCACCAGGGCCTTAATTATTGTAATTGGAGTTTTTGGGCTTAAACCGCAGAATCGTATAAATTATGGGAGGCCATCTGATGATACCTTCCACACACTGGAGATAACTTTCCTTTTTTGGGAAAATCATATGTTAATTGTTTTGTGTAAAGCTAAGTGGGGAAACGCCTCTCGAAACTTACCGCATAACGCTTGTGCCACATAAACCCCTTAAGTTGAATGGCAATTTTCACCTAAACTCAATCCCTTCTTAAGGAATATATATATATATATATATATATCTTTCAACCCCTTAAGTTTTCTTCATGTCTCATTCCCCTTATCTTATCACATTCATTATATGAATTAGATTCGAGACGTCGGATTGGTTTTCTTTTGGGACACATTCGAGCAAAATTGCCTAGAAGAAACCGGAAACTTTTTTTTTGGCAAAAACCGTGCAGAAAAGCCGGGAAAAAGGAGCAGATAAAGGTAAAAAGGGGGGATACAAAGGCCACAGAATTTTCCAATCGTATTTATTGAATTTTTCTAAAAGGCGTCGTCGGTCCCGTTCGTCCCGTTTCTCGCTTTCACGGTGTCCGCTCATCCGTCCAGGCGAGAAACCCAATATAATCTTTATTCCCTTTGTCTCCCGATGGCCGAAATGGTTGAAAATGTCCGAACATTTTTCATTTTAAAGACATTTTGACAATATTTTTTTTTTTGGCTGCCGTCAACAGACAGAGGAGGGAAATTGGCAGATTAGAAACGCTCGAATCGCAGCGGTCGGTCCGCAGGGAAGGTCGACCTCTGACCTTGTCCAGTTGATTAGCATTGGGATTGGAACATTCCATTGTCTGACTTTGTAAAAGTATCTGTATCCGTATCTGCTTGCTAGCAGCTAAAGTCATTGGGAATTAGGAAGTGGCAGTAAAAAGTCGTTTTTTTTTTTTTTTTTTGGCATAAATTAAATTTGTATTTTCCGCTTGATTTTACGTAGAAAAGATTATACAAAATTGTATCTTACGGCTGGTATTTACACTTAGGTTTAGGTTTGGCTTAAGACTATGAATAAATATAGTTCGTATATCTGGGAGGAAAAGTGAAAATCTTGATTGTAAAATCACTTCTGCTAACCACTAAATCGATTCTGAATCGCTGTCTTATCCTCCGTTTTTCTTTTTTTTAATACAATTCAACATCACGGTTAGAAATCTAAAGTTAAGATATAGATATAATATATTTACACAGGCTTACTACCAAGAGCTAACATTTCTTAATCTTTTTTCTCTTTTTGGGTGAAGAGAATCCACCCCCAGGTGCTGGACGCAGTGGGGTTGGATTTTCCATGCCACCGTAATTAGGGCGAGGAATTGGTTCTGGTCGTGGACTTTTGCCAAAGCAACGACGAACACGAACGGGTAACGTTAATGAATAACTAAAACAAGGTCTTTAAAAATTAATTAGAGCTACGTGGGGGTTGCATTCAGGGCAGTAATACGCCTTCACTTGCTCTTCGTGGCCGGTGGCAGGGAAGCAGCGGAAGAAGCTGTTGCTCCGCTATTGCCGGTGGACGCCGTCTGTTGCCGTGCCCCATTGTTGTTGCTGCTCGGTCCCTTGGTCTGTGGCGCCGTGGCTGCAGCCGTCAGTTTACCAGCGGGCAGGGGTGATGTTTTCGGACTCGCTGCCGGCGGTGTGGCTCCCGGACTGGGCAGTGTAACGGTGGGTAACATGGGTTTTACTTCCCCTTCCATTGGACCACCACCACTTCCACCGGCGGCTGTCTTTAGCTTCTGCAGGTAATCGTTGAACACCTCGTTGCCGGCGCGCTGCATCCGCGACAACTGCTCCATGAGATATGCCTGCTGGTAGTTGTACATAGCCGGGGACAGGTGACCCATTTGGGCAAAGTTGTACATCATGTTCGACTGATTAGCAGCCACGGCCGCCGCCTGGGCAGCCTGAGCAGCCTGGGCAGCCTGCGCCGCCTGTACTCGCATCAGGTTCTCCTTGATGAAGTTGCTCAGGTCAAGTTGTCCCGAGGCCACGGCTGCGGCACTGGCACTGGAGGCGATACTTAGCGGAGCATTCTGTCCATGCATTCCGGGATGTGGCAACATTTTGCCCACCGCTGGCAGGGATGGAGGCGGTGGTGTGGGATTTTTGGATTTTTTACCCTGCTGTTGGCTTTTCTGCGGGGGACTGGGCTTCTGCGGCGCCGGCTGTTGGGGTGAACCACCATTGGCTAGCTTCTGTTGACCAGACTGTTGTTGCGAGGAAGCTATCGAATTTGGTGACTTCTTGCTGGGCGCCACCTTCTTGCCAGTGGCTGGGCTCTGAGGTGGATTGAAGCCAAAAGAAGGCACCAGCGGTGGCAGTTTCGGCATCAACTCAGGCATGGCGTTCTGACGTGGCAGGATGGGCCGGAACTTCTTGGCCGCTGGATCACCATTCTGGCTGGCCGTTGCCGAGTTTGCTCCTCCGGCTGATCCACTCTTGGGCGACTTGTTCTCACTGGCGGTGGGTGAATGGCTGCCCATCTGGGCGGCATTTCGCTTTTCCGGACTGGGCGTCTTCTTATCTGCCTGCGTGGGTGTAAGCACTGGCTTCAAAGGCGTTCCTTTGGCTGCCACATTGGCCGGCGGTGAGGTTTTTGGTGGCGTAATCACACGTGGAACACTTAGAGGCGGGGGCGTGGCCACTTGGGGCAACTGTGGCGGAGTCATGCGGGACATTAAATGTTGAGGCGAGGGAATAGCCTTCGATGGCGGCGGTGGTGGCAACTTGGCTGGCAGCACTGGTGCTGGTGTCACAACAGGCGGCGACTGTCGTTTCTGTGCCTCCTTGGCCTGATCCTGCGGCTGATCGGGTAACTTAACAATCTCAATGTAGTTATTAACCGGACTCTTGTGCTTGGGATGCTGGCCATTGTTGGGCGACGAGGGATCACCACTATCCCGAGAGATTGTGATTGACAGCGAGGAGGGAATGTTGATGTTGCACGAATTGAGCAGCGACTTGACTTTCACCTGCTGCTTCTCGGGAGCATCTTCATTGGGCAGATAGAGATTGCCATTGGAAGTACCATTACCTCCGGTTTGACCACCTGAAGATGAGCCACCTTGCGCAGGATTGGTATTCTGATCTGATTTGATGGGTGGTGAGGGGAAAAGTCCGCCAAGACCGCCACCATTTCCGCCTCCCAAAATATTCTGCAGATAACCATTGCCAGATGATCCATTACCGCTTCCGGCATTTCCCGTTGGCTTCGGCGTATACTTGTAGGTGGGCATCGTTGGAATATTATAGCTGGGCACGTACTGCGGCGAACTGGGCGAGTAAATGGGCGAATTGGGCGTGTACATGGGCGTACGGCAACCAGGTGGCGCCTCCTTGCCCTTGGACTTGCTCGAGTTAAACAGTGCCAGATTCAGATAGTTATTCGAACTATTATTCTTATTTGGAGCTGGCATCTGTCCTTGCTTGCCGGGATTCCTATTATTCTGAGTGGAGTTCCCTCCATTAGAGGCAATTCCCGGTGGTGGCGGTGGTCCCATCTTGTTATCTCCCTTGGGTCCATAGACATGCGACTTTTGGCCACTGCTGTTTTCTCCAGATCCTCCACCACCAATCGACTTGATTTCGGTACCGGCATCCTTGAGCAATCGATTGACATCGTTTGGTATATTGGCAAAGGGATTGGGACGCGAAGCCTTGGGTAAAATCGGTTGATAACGCTTAGCGATGGGCGTCCGATTGCCCGGAGCTGACATCTGTACTCCGGCATGATGATGCAATGGAGGTGGAGGAGTGGCAAACTGCGAGGAGGATTGAAGTTTACGTGGTGCCAACATCGGTGGCTTCGATGGCGGCGGCATCAGTGGCTTTTCGATCTTTGGAGAAGCTGGACTATTACCATTGGTGGCTGGCAAACGTATCTTAAAGTCCACCGTGGGAAGTGGAGGTGATAGCTTCGGTTTCTTGGACACTGCCTTGACTGGTTCCTTGCTCTTTCGCTTCGAAGAGGCAATGGATTTCGGTGGCATACAGCTGGGCGGCTTCATCAGCATGCTGTCGTCCAAATTACTTTTAGATTTGGGCAGCAATGTTGATTCCTGCACCGTACCCGAGGGCGGGGTAATGGCTCTGCTATTGAACATTCTCTCTGGGGATTCAACTTTCACTTTGATGGGTTTCAGGGCAAAAGACTTGAGGAACTCAGACTTGGGATCTTCTGAGAATGAACCACTGGTTACTCTAGGACTCAGAGTGCTCACTCCACTGGGACTCAGAATACGCTCCGTGCGAATGGTCAAGGGTGGAACTGTCAGCGGACTGGGACTCTTACGCTTACGCTCGCCACTTGTAGAGGAACTCGAATTACTCGATGACTTGGGACTGCCATCCTTGTCCTTCTTCTTAGACCTCGACTCCTTCTCGGGTTTCAGGGGCTTCACAATCTCTCGGCGTTCCGGATCGGACATATTGATTATGGTCACACTGTTCTGCTTGGACAGATCGATCTTCAGCTTGATATTGGGCTCGGAGGGTGAAGAAACGGGCGTGGTGGGTGAACTTTTCTTCGTCTGCGGCGAGTGACTCTTTTCGCGCTTTTCCAGCATATTTCGATTGATAACCAACTTTAGTGGCTCCGTCGTGGGCGGTGTTGTCGCTACCTCTTTGTTGACCACCTCCTTGACTACAATTTCCTTAATGGCCTCCTGCTGCTCCACTTTAATGGAAGCTTCAATAGCTGGCACTGTTGCAGGTTCCACCTTCGCCGGAACTACATCTACCACTGGCAGCTTCTCCTTTCTTTCCTCTTGATTCTCCTTCTCTGACTTCTCTAGTTTTAGTGGCAAGACCCGACGTGGAATGGACTTAACCAGCGGCTGTGGCGACTCATAAACACGATAGTAAAACCGCATGGGTGCATCCCGCTTCCACGTATAGATATACGCAATATCCATTAGAGTATAGTAGTCTAGCAGCACGATTGTCTTGACCTTGTACATAATATCGATACTAAAACGTTCGGCATGAATCTCGAACTTGTCGTAGACGAACTTCTTCAGGTGGCTAACACGGCACATGGCCGGACATTGAAGATACCGCGGACGCAGTGTGTCCACCAGCTCAGACTCCGACTCGGTTTTTAGTTCACTAATGGAGAGAGAGAAAAGAAAAGAGAAAGTAGATATTTATAGGTTAGTAAAATGCAATAACTTTTGGTTAAGATAACTTTAAACTAGCTAAATCTTTAAGATACATACCCCAATTCAGCGTATTCCAGGGACAGCGACATATCATCCGAGGGACTGAAGATCAGATGCTCTGTATCATCGCCTCGCTGTTCGGGCGTGGCCAAAGCCGCTTCCTGTGGACGATCCTTGTAGAAGGCTCTTTTACGCATCAGCTCCCGTTCGTAAAGGCCCGGCACGAGCTTATAGACAATCGCCTGGAGCGTGGTATCCGATCTGGAAAAGGAAAAACGAGACAAGCGAAGGATTAGGAATTGGTAATAGTATATAGAACAGGAGTTTGGGGTAGCTATAGCTGCATTCAAAGACCAGTGAAATGGAACAGCCGACAAAGGCAGCGGCGGCGGTTGGGAAATGGAAAAAGTCATCAGGGATAAGAATAAGAGACTAACAGACAGACAGACAGACAAGCAGGCAGGACTTGCAACTTCCTTGGCGCGGAAATGAGACCATATAAAAGACGCTAGAGTAAAAGAGATGGGGACAAACGCCAGCCTGTACAAATTAGGCGGCAGATGCAATTTTTCTATTGCTTCAATGGCACGCAACAAATACAAAAACTGAACACAAAAAATAAGGGAAGGGACGACGACAACACGACTATATAGTATTCCTTGGCATGCGCTGGTGACGATGATGGTAGTGATAGTAGTGGTGGTGGTGGTGGTGCTGCTGTTAGTGGTGGTGGTTTCCCCCCTCAGATATTACTCACACACACACACACACACACACCCATGCCATGCCATGCCATCGGAGCAGCTCTTTGGGCCCTAAGATGCCTTTGAAAACATCTACGGGGCCCCGGGCAGACCAGGCGCTCACTTCAATCATTTCTCAACCAAAATAACGAAAGACGCAGACCGAAAAAAGGTCTTCAATAGAGAACTTAAAGATGGGAAGAGAAATAAGAGGCAGACGGACGGGAGGCATTAGGTAATGTTAAGGCAGCGACTCAAGACTCAAGATCTGGGAAATGGCCATGGGAATGGGTATGGCGGCTCTCATTTACATAAGCCTCGGGCCATAAATTTATCGATCATTGCAGGGGCAGCAAAACGTTCTATCTCTGATCGATCTATTTGGAAAAAATCCTTTCACAATCAAATTAATTAAAGTATTTAATGTTAGATGGGCGATAATGAAGAGAGTTTTGATTAAAGTAAGTTTGCTGATAGATAAGATTATAGTTTTTTGAACATTTTAAGGTTATAAAAAGCTTTTAGATACAAAAAACCACTCATAATATATCAATTAAACTAAAACTAACTCAGTTTTTAGCATTTACAGATGTTATTTCAGCTAGTTCAAAGTGCTTTTGGAACATTCTAAGGTCTAATTACTCATAATACCCCAATTAAACTAAAACTAACTCAGTTCTGTCTAACTTTCTTTGACAATTCTTATTAAATCTTCACTTTGAAAAACTTTTCTTTCTCATTTCCCTTTTCACAAACCCATCAAACTTAATTTATATCCTCTGTTAACCCAACTTTCTGTCACTTTTTGATGCCAGCTTGCCAGGATCAAATAAATATTACACCAAAAAAAAAGTAAGAAAAAGAAAAACAACCAACAGAAGCTGTGTGTCCTTCTTTCTCTTTCTGCCTCACGCGCCTGTCACTCAGTCGTCGCTGTAGCTGTTATTATTATTCCTGGCTCATTGTATTTGCTGTTGTTGTTCTTGATGTTGTTGTTGTTGTTGTCAGCTGCTGCCAGTCGTCGTCTTGGTCGTCGTTGTTTTTGGCCGACGGCAAAATTTCGAGGCATCGAAAAGCGGAGAAGACCCGCCCGTTAATTATCTCGGCCGCACTTGGGATTTGTTTTCGGTTTTCTTGGAAATGCGCGTGTCGCTGCAGTTTCTTTTTCTTTTTCTTTATATTTTTCCCCGGCTTTTTTTGCAGTTTATATATCAGTTGATTTTGTTGGCGGCTGTAAAAGCAATATAATAAGAACCTGGCTCTGGCCCCTGACACGAATACAAACGAGAAAAGCGGCTGCCGTTGAAAGTTTCAGCTTTTAGTTTAGTTTATTTTATATTTTATTTATTTATTTCTTCATTTTTTTTTTTTCATTTTGGATTTCTTGTTTTTGCAGCGCTTTTATTTCGTGTTTACCTTTGTAAAGATAAACTGAACGGAGTTTTCTTTTGTGTTCTCGCTGCTGTTCCTTCTGTTCCCTTCTCTCTCCTCTTTTTCTTTCCTGTTTCCCCCCCTCCTCCAACCATCCTTCTTAAACAATAAACTTTTGCAATAAATTTAATTGGAGACCCGAGAGTCTACTACTGCAATACAACTAAAAATTCATGGAAAACGTGGCCAACGGGCATACAAAAGGGCACTTGTTTGCAGAACCCACCAAAATCCCCGCTATATCTCTCGCTCTATATCTGCACGGTGAGAAAAAACAGGGTAGAAAGACCTTAACTCTTAACTTTAATCTAGAAATTGGTAACAACAGGTAAACGTTGGTCCCTAACTTAAACATTGTTGATCTTTATAATTCTCGGTAAACTCTCATTTGGAAGAGCTAACAAAAAAAGGTTCATTTGGTGAAAAACTTGAAAGTTTCTTTGTTTACCAGACATCATGTGGGGGGTAGAAAACCAAAAATGGAAGTTTAATGTTCAGAAATTTAAGTTAGTACAATGTTAAAAGCAGTTTTTGTTCTTTTCGTCTTAATAAAATCATTTAAAATTATGTTTTCCCTACTTTTCCTTTAATATTTTCTATAATTAAACGCCCTACTATATAACTCATTATTTTATCCCCGTGTAACTGGTCTTCTGGTGCCTCCATAGGTCGCCAATTCACACCATTTGTCCAGCAGCGGCGGCAGCAGCAGCAGCCAAAAAAGGTTCATTCATTCATTCATTCACCTGCTCTTCATTTAGTCAGCCCTCTGCCCACGTTGATATCGCCGCTCTTTGAATTTGTATTCATTATCTTTTTGTGTGTGTTGGTGTGTTTGTGTGTTGCTATGTGCCAGCGATTACAACGTGCCACTTGATGTGGGGGGTTAAAAGATAGGGAGAGGGGTAGGTAATGCCAGCGGGTGGTTTCCTCTCTCTCTCTATACAGATTCCCCCATTAAAGTTCGTAGAGGCCTTAAGGCTTAAATAGAAATGCTGCTGGTTCAGCTTTCGGGAACATTGAAACGTGTTTTTCATTACGAACCAACGAAATGGAATGGAATGAATTGAAACGTGCCACAGTGCCGCATCAGACAAGACAGTTAGACATTCCCAAAAATGCGCCTGGATCTTTGGTCTGCCGTCAAATAAAGTTAACCACAGGCGAAAACTTTGGAACTTGGTGGAAAAAGGTGGAAATAAGGCAAAAAGCAGGCGTTTCCTTTAACTCCTAGACCCCCGCCCGCATCAACATTAAACCAAAGGGCCAAAGGTTTTTGATCAAGTTTTTCCTTCTCATACCTACAACTTTTTGATGAGGAAAAACCACCGATACCGCTACCCTCAACTAAACCCACACCACTTATCCCAACAAAATACCAAAAGTTGTGTGGTCCAAGGAGGAACATTTAAGAAGAAACTACTCCTTACCAGTACAGAGGAGATGGTGTTCAGTTGCTTTCCCCTGGGGAAAATCAATCTAGCAGGCGAACTAAAACAAAATTGCTATAAGCTACAGTGAGTGTTCACAAATCCGTGACGGGCGGATGAAAACGGCGGGAAAACTGAAAGGGAGCTAATCTTGTACTGATTTTCTTATTATATTAGTCAGCACAGGACAGAGGCATCATCTAATAAAAAACTTCAAAAGAAAGACAGACACCTTTGGGCGAAAGGAAACAAAAACGTCATTCAGGATCTGGCCCTTTGACACTGAACAAAAGTGGGATTAAGTGAGATCTAAGACCAGTTTAGTTTCTCTTTTATTTGTTAAGGAAATGTATATGGATTCGAGTTACAAATAAGTATCTTTATGACCTTTACTTCTGCTTCATAAAGCTGAGTCAACTTATTAATGAACTTTGTGAAATCCTTGCATTTCCCAGGTTTTTGTTTTGCATAAAATATTAAGTAGTCCCATTTCGCTAAGAACTTGAATAATTTACTTAGGTCTCTTTTATCGCAGCTCTATCCGCTATTAAAGATCCATCAATGTTTTTTTACTCCGCTGAGCCGCCGCCACTTACTTTCAACCAGACAAGAGACAATCTGAAGCACCTTGTTGTTGCCTGCGCGCCCCTTCTCTCTGATGTCTACGACCTTACATTATGTATCTATCATCTAATCGCTTCTTGTCAAAGACAGACGATTGCTAGGAGCTTCCATCCAACCATTCATTCAACTTCCAGTTACTACTGTATATATATATATATGTATATATATATATATATCTAAAGGGCTCTTTTACTCACTTGATGTTCGGCTTGGCGTTGTTGATGACCATCTCGCAGCGCGGGCAGAATCGCTCCTTTCGCAGGTGATTAATGAGGCAACTGTGGCAGACTGAAAAGAAGCGGAAAAAAGAAGTATAAATTAGAGGGCTTTCGGTATGCGAAATAGGCAAATTACGATGCACGCCGGCATTCGAAATAAATAAACTCAACAGATTTCAATGATTCGATTTGAGGTAAGACCAATCTTGCTCTTTCTCTTTTTGGTTGGGTGATAACTACCACCCCCTCAGAAGGAAACGCAATCAAACCACCCACGTACCAAAACGGAAAAAAAAAGGAAAGGAAAAGCAAAGGCAGCAGCAGGAAGAAATCAACGAGGCATAGGGAAAAGCATTAAACAGAAACAGGGAAACACAACCTTCAAGGCAAACGGAGTGCTGCTGCAAAAAAGTTGTTTTGACTTTAATGTCAATGCCAGTGTCTCTCTCTGTCTGCGTAGCTTTTCCCCACCAACCCCTCCACCACCTTCTCCTCCTCCTCCTCCTACTCCTCCTCTTACTTTTCCCTGAGTTTTCCCCCTGAATATCCTGCCCGCTTCAACTGTCACCCAACTGCAGACCATGGAGATTCTGAAAGGGGGGGGGTTTTAATACATAAGCAAGGGCAGGACTGGCATCAGGACAGTCTACTGGGGGTCGCACTTCCATTCAGTCAGTCCAAGCTGGCCGCCCGCCGCCTGTTACGCTTGTCCATCAGTTTTGGTCCAATGCCGAAATAATAATAAAACGAAAAAAACACAGAAATACGGGAAAACACAGAAAGCGAAATAAAAGGAAAAATTCGCACTGAGCAGGAAAATATATGTTGGGGGGGTTAGTTGGGCGCCTTTTTTTGTGAGGGGCGTGTGTTGTGGTGGTGGGGTGGTGGCGTGTGCAAGCCAGCAAAAAAATTGTTGTTACTGCCCGCCAAATGGCCTCGAATAAAGGGGAGAGCACAGCGGCCAGCAGTTGGCGGCCAACAGCCAGCACATTCTGCAAGAGTTGCAGCAGCATCAAAAACACTGAGAGAAATGCTCACTGAAAAAATAAGTTTTTAAAAACTTTTTACTACTTTTTCAGATTTCTTAAACATATTTCTATATGCTAATTTATATTTCCAATAGAATTAACTTAATCTGAAGACCTTTTTCTATACCCGAAATTCCTCTCAGTGCCTGCCTACCAAGGCAGCTGTTGCTGGCATAGTCCGGTTTTCGCTTTGGTTTGCTCTGCCTCTGCCTTTGCCTTTGCTTTTGGTTTTGGTTTGTGATGTTAGTGTTGGTTTTGCTGTTGGCTGACTGACTGGCCTGGGTCCCAGTCTCGGTCGCAGTCGCAGTCTCAGTCCCAGGTCCGGTCACCAGTAAACAGTCCACAGTCCACAGACATCCAGTACCGTCCCGTCCCGTCCGGTCCGGTTGTTTTTGGGTTCGGTTCGTTTGACAGTTAGATGGGACTCCCGGGTGCTCTACATACTAAAGCATGTATCTGTTTTGCCGTCCCTCTGGCTGGCCAACAGATTTAAATGAGCCTGACCAAATGTATCCAGTGTCCATTATCAACACATTGGTTTGCCAGATTTACGAAAAAAAAAGAAAGAAACGAACAGGAGGCTCCCCTTTGAATGGAAAATTAACCTTAGTTGGCAAAAAGGGGAAAACTCTTAATGTCTGAACGAATGTTGCTGGGTGATGTATGGCTGCATTTGGTAGTTTTATGGCATTTAGTCTCGCCCCACCAAAGGGAATGCTAATGTTGTGTTAATATCTATGTCGTTGATAACATATCCGGGGTTTGGTTTCTTCTTTCTTCTTTCTTTTTCGATGTTGGATGGGGGTATAGAGATCATCTCTAGACCGTCGTCTCAACAGTTTCTCAATCAATCGAGCTAAGTACTTCGTGGCTGGGGCCATTAATGTGCCCACAAACTTATCGCCTGGCAACATCTGCGTGTCGTCTGTGTTCCTACCACGAACTCTCATCCACCACCTCCTCTTCAACGCTAAGTCCTCCGCCCCCTGAAGCGAACATAACTCATCGCGTCTAGGCAATTTTGCAGAACATCTAGACAGCAGGAGGTTGAGATTTGGATGGGTATTGGTATTGGCGGGTGTTGGCTACGAGGGGAGGAGATTGGCTACCGCCTTAGTCGGCGGCAGTTGGCATTCTAATTAAGGCAAAGCGATTAGCCACTCCAACTTGGCTTGGCTTAAGCTCCTCTGTCCATTGAACGAAATTTATAAGGCAGAGATAAAGATAAAATGGAAAGTATCTCTAAGATATTTTATATATATCTATATCGTGAATATCCCATAAATTTCATTTTTAACTTTAATTTCTTGATAAATTTAAAGACTGTCATTGAATGAGTGACTTTTTTGACAAAGTTCACCGAGCAAGGGTCATCATTTCCAGCTTCTAAAGTTTTCTTTAAAAAACTGTTCGAGTGAAAGGAATTCGATGCTATCCTCAGGATAACGATTTCATTCCACTAATAGGGTAGTTTTAGCCATTAGAATCAATTTGGAGGTTGAGTTAAAGTAAAAAGAAATGTATCTTTTTGGCAACTTGAAGGTTATTGACTTGAGACAAGTTAGTTCCCATCCCCATAAAGCTTTGAAGTCCAAAAGGATACTTACAGGAGTGCAGGCATTCGACAATTGTGGTGGCATTGATCAGATATCCTTGGCAGAGGTGACAGATGATGTGCGGATTGACGGCCGTTAAAAGTACGGGGCGTGGCCTTGAAGTTGTGGCCAAATCGGAAGTCGTTGACGCCGCTGTTGTAGATGCTTGATCCGTACGGTCCTCCTCCGTTTTGTCCTCATCAGCGGAGGCGCCACCATTACTGCTGGCATCCTCTGAAGTGGCCCGACGTGTCGTGGACCATGAAGATGATGAGGAAGAGGAGGATGAAGACGAAGAGGAGGAGGATGAAGATGCCTCAACTGATTCAACAGCATTCGTTGTTACCGGAGGCGTTGATTCCTTCTTGATGCCATTTTCTAATATTGTTTTTGCCACTTTGCCGGTGGCAAGTATTGCTGCAACATTTGTCGCTGCTAATGTGTTTTCACTTTTTACTTTAATGCTACAGGCAGCAAAAAGTTGATTCTTTAGTTGCTGTTGCTTTTGCATTTTATCAACGCCGTTCGTTGTTGCTGCTGCTGTTGTTGTTGTTGTTTTCTGAGACAAAGCATGCTTTTTGCTGGAATTATTGTTGTTGTTGCTATTGCTATTTGCATTGCTGACAATGCTTTTGGCCGTCTTATTTGTTGCCGCTGTTGCTGTTGTTGTAGTTGTTTTTGCCAGCGTTGACAACTTTTGTTGTGCATGAGCCATTGTTGTTGTTTCTGCTGTTGGTGCCGCTTCTGCTGTTAGTGCTTTTGTTGTTGTTGCTGCTGCTGGCGGTATTCCTTTCGACTCTGGCGTCATCATAGTAATAAATACTTTTGTTTCTTATTTCGCACAAGCGTCAATCTGCAAAAAAGATAATGCCAAAAAAGAAGTTGAAAATAAATGCTAGTAAAGCAGATGATGGAAAATGGAAAATGGAAATCGTAAAACTGGCAAAATGAAAAGCGAACTTCAAGAGAGTGTGCTGAAGATTATAAATAAATCAGCGGCTGAGCGCGAAAAGCAATAAGCTGAAGCTATATATATAGCTTCTTTGGTTGGGGGGAAAAGCTTAAAGCTTGCAACAACTCCCCACTGTTTTTACAAAAGAATAATGGTGGCTAGGGAAATACGTTTTCTGGGAAAAACTTGTGGAGTTAATGAACTCAGTGGGATCGTATTTTTCTTTAGTGAAATCTTTTCTTTGAAATGATTCAGATTTTACTCTAATAGAAATTGAATTGAAGTTGTAATAAAGGTCTTTATATCTTTATAAGAAATTAAATACTAAAATGCATTTTATGAATTTTTCTTCTATTTTTATTATAACTCCGCTATCATAGAAATCAAAAACACATTAAAAACACACTTGATATCTGGGAATTAAAGCATTTGGGACTTTGAGTAGTAGACAAACAACAACAACATAAAGGGAGCATAAAGTAATCTCAGCCAGCTATTATTTGCAATCAGTCGATGGATGCGGGGGCCTTCGATAATGGATGTTGTAGTTGCCATGGGAATGCCTCTACGTTGAATATATATTGAAATGCACAGCACTCGAGGGATCGAACAAGAAGAGGGGGGGTTAAAGAGTTGAGTTTTGCAATAGGGGGTTGGTGGGTGTGCTTTGTTTTATTACGAATTGGAGTGTCAGAGTGGAGTTTTAACCAGATGCCAAAGTACATTTCCAAGTGGTAGGCGGGGCAGCGTAGCTGTAGAGGGCGTAAAAAATGTGTATTTCAAACAACTTCAAGTTGTTTTTGCATCAACGCGCCAGTTAAAAGTCAAGGTACGTACGGTAAACTTTTCCAAAAAACTTTTCCAACTTCACAGGCAAACAAAATACGTTAAAGTATGTACATAATATCTGTGCATATACATATATATATTTATGAAGAATATGGCAATGTGGAATACGAATGAATGGAAGAGACTGGCATCTCTTTAAAACCTTTTTTTTTTACACCACTTTTAAGTGTTGTGCGAAAAGTGAGAGAGAACCCTTCTTTTTTTTTTGACCCCTTCCCTTGTCTGTTTTTCTGCTCCTTTTTTTTGAACCCATTCCCATGCTTGAAATCTCAGGGATTCTCGCGCGCAAAAAAAATATGTGAGTGAGTACCAACATGAAAAGGATAATAAAAAAAAAAAAGCAGCGGAATTTCTCATTTGAGTAGGGTGTGCGTGTGAGTGTGTGTGTTTGTGTGTGGGTAGGGATGAGAAGGGAAGTAAAACGAAGGGAAACGCGAGACTGTGACAATGAACAAGAACAACAACAACAGGCAAGAAAGCAAGCCAGCGAAAATTCGTAGAATGCAGAAACCAGACTGCGGCTTTATCTCCTCTTTCACACACACACACTTTAACTTTCATTCAAAGAAAATAAGTAACATAAACATAAAACGAAAACGTTGCAAAATGAAATAGCAGTAAAAAAAATCAGTCACACACACTCACAAATTCCCATGCTCCCCTTTTTCAATTGTCGTGTGTCCAATCGAAATTCTCACTTGTTGGGACCAAAAAAATAAAACAAAAGAGAGGGGGAGCCATAAAAAGAGAAGAGGAGATAAATAGAATGAGAGAGGGGGTAAAAGAGAGTGGGACAGGGAGAGTGGGGGCAGAGAGAGCGCAACAGCTGCCGGTTGCAAGCAGTGTTGGTAAACGGCAACCATTTACCTTTGAGTTCAGTTTTTAATCCACTAATAATCCAGCCAGTTAATTGGCATCGCGGTGGTCGCCTTGCATACATATATACATATGTACATAATCCAATGGCATTGGTAAATAATCCAAGTATATAATCCACAGTTTTGAGTCAGCGGTTTCTTATTTTTACTTCACTTTTGTTTTAAATTTTTTGTTGTGTTACTTCTTTACTTCAAACTGCACAAAAGCAAACACACACACTCATACACACGCGTGTTGGAACTTTCGGCTGCTCTGCTTTCGTGGGCACCTTTATTGTGTATTATGCTTTGCTCTATGTTTTCTGCCCGCACACATTCACACTCACATACACGCGCTTCGTATATAAGGCAGCAGACGTTGTTGTTGTTGTCGTCGTTGCCGTTGCTGCTGCATTTGTCACACAAAGGAAATTTTCTGTTAGATTTCCTATTTATTTTATTTAATATTATTTTCTAACTTAAGCTTTGAGCTCTTCTGGTATAGTTAAACACATGTTTTTGGTTTGATTATTTATAGTGGTCGCTTTACTTGTGTTTGATTAGCGATAAAGTAAGAAATATCGAAATTGAACCGACCGCACAACGTCCGTTCGCTTCGAGTAATATTTTCCGACTCCGACTGAACGACCACGCTGCTTTTCGTTTATGTACACTGCCTGCTTTGTCTGCTATTTACTCTCTCTCTCGCCTCCACATACATACACATAGACAAGCATATACACCAAAGGCAGGTAGCCAACTGCTCTGGGCGAGTATCTTTGTTTTCTTTTTCTTTGCTCGTACACTGATTGGCTGTCTCGTTCTTGCAGGCCTCTCACTGGGCAGCTTAACAGCTATCTTGCTCGCACACGCGCTCGGCTCTTTTGTTGTTCTCGTTGCGGGGCGTCGTCGCTCTCGCTTGCTAGCTCTCGTTTCTTTCTGCACAGCGTCGGCGAACCGCTCACTTTGAATGTTGTATTTGTACTGAAGCAGCTCTTTGCTGACTCTGGCTTTCATTCGGTCGGTTGCCGCCTCTGCCTGCGTCAACGTCGACTGCGGCGTTGTTTTTTCTTTTGCTTTGCCAGCCGTTTTCTTTGTTCGTCTTTATATATACGTATAAAAAGAGAGAGGGTCTATCATGAGAGAGGGGGAGAGAGCAAAAAGGGCTGTACATAAATGGCAGAGGTTTTATGACTCTTGCGAGCTCTTATCCATATACAAACACTTATGAATATATAAGACCATGAGCAAACAAGGTAGAATGAGTGCCTATGTAATCGCAACTTGCAATTTCCGTTAGCAGAAATCGCATATTTGCACGTAGGCGTATTTCTACGTTTATATCTTCACCCCTCTCGCTCTTGATCACTCTCTCTCTCTCTCCCACTCGAAGCTCGCACATTATTGCCTCCAAATTGGATATGTTGTTGCTTGTTTTCCCTTTGCCTTTTCCTTTTTTGCCTCCACTAAGGCAACAACAACATTGAGAGCACTCTCCAATCAGTGGCAGCCAACAACAATAACAAAAAATGCGAATCCCAAAAAAAGTATCAATTTACCAGCGGTGGTTGTGGCAGGCAGAAGGAACGTTGCGTCAAGGAGACGCCGGCAGTTCTTTCTCCGATGGACTCAAGACAAGACTCAAATCAACGAAAATTCTGAACCGGAAACAGGAATTATAACTGCCAGAGAGTGCTCATGCACTGTGGGAATAGAGGACAGAGGTACTAAGTCCTGGTTAGGATATCTTTATTTTTGTAACCTTTAGATATCGGTCTTACTCAAGCAAAAAGCTTGTTATTGGGAAACTAAGAAATTAAATCTTAATATCTGTGCAGTATTTTATGTCTTTATTTATTGCTTATATTAAAAAACAAGAGGAAACGCTATAGTCGAGTGCCGCGACTATAAGATACCCGTTACTGTTTTACACAATTTTAAAATATTAATTTTGCTAGTGGAAATTCACAAGGCGCCACCTATTGTCAGAGGAAGTATGTTGAGTATGCTTATAGTGACGTCACTGCCCATGTGGAGCCTTATAACCTTAATTTCTTCATAAATAGCGAAATAATGTTCCGATTTGAAAAATCTTTGGTAAATCGATAGATATTAACAGAAATAAGTTACACAAGGTCAAACGAAGGCATTCATAATAATATTATAGACTCCACAGTTTTCCGCGGTTTGTGGGCGTTAGAGTGGGCGTGGCCGGATGCAACTTCGTGGCAAGTCGCAGAGGCATCTCCTAAATACGTGTTCCTAAGCAAAATTGTGTAGCTTTTATAGTTTTTGAGATTTTTGCATTTTTGGTTTTTCGGGTTTTGTGGGCGTTAGAGTGGGCGTGGCGTGATCGGAAAAAAACAATTCGCATTGGGAGCATCATAGAAACATACATGCTTTATCCGAACTTTCTATCTCTTATAGTTACCGAGATATCAGCTTTTCTAGAAAATCCGAAAACCGTCTTTTGAGCCTTGTGGGCGTATGGGTGGGTGTGGCCGGATAGTAGTAGCACTATAAGATGCGCTGTCATCTAAAGATTATACTTTCTGAAATTCAACTTTCTAGCTGCAATAGTTCCTGAGATTTCAGCAATTTTAGTTTTTTGCGATTTGTGGGCGTTAGAGTGGGCGTGGAAGGATGCTGTAATAAACTTGCGCTGTCCCGGGACCTCAAGAATCTTCATGCTTAATCTCAGCTTTGTATCTGCTATAGTTCCTGAGATCTCAGCGTTCATACGGACGGACGGACGGACGGACGGACGGACGGACGGACGGACGGACGGACGGACGGACGGACGGACGGACGGACGGACGGACGGACGGACAGACGGACATGGCTCAATCGACTTCGCTATTGATCCTGATCAAGAATATATATACTTTATAGGGTCGCAAAAGCTTCCTTCTATCTGTTACATACTTTTCAACGAATCTAGTATACCCTTTTACTCTACGAGTAACGGGTATAAAAATCAGCAACTTCGTTTCCGTCTTGGCGAATTAACCGTTAGATGGTCTCTTACGTTACGTAACAAAGCAGATATAACGGACAAATAACGAGAAAAAAAACACGAACCATGACGAACCAAAGTTTCTATGCTAAGTAGTAGTTACCATAATAGTAGTAATTGTATTGTATGTGGGAGTAAAGAGTTCATTCTGCTTCTAACTTCTATCTTCTACTAAATAAATTCTTATACTTTGTGCAAAAGTGCAAAGCGGCAGTCATCTGTTTCTCTTATGAGAAACCAAAGGATACCTTTTTATAAGTTTAGTAATAGTTTTTTTATGAAATACATTATTTATCTCTTTTATAATGATAATTACAAGGATATTTTTAAAATTTCTTTAAGTCGTCATCAAGTGCATGATCATATATTTCCATATTTTTCTATGTAAAACGCAAATATTCCTTTCTTAAAGGATATTTACAGTTCTTTAAGTAGAGTAAGCCGAAGAAAGGCCATGCAAAGAGTATTTTTTTATACCTTAAATGACAAGATAATAAATTTAAACGTTTTCCTTTCCATTATTAACAGTTTATATATTTATGTCCGAAAAGGAGTAGAATGCGAAAACCCAATTTTAACGTTATTTACAGTATGTAATGTATTACTTATTAAAAATTGCATAAACACAATTAATATTTTTATCTGTGACCACTGAAAAATATAATCTTTAAAAACTCAATTTTTGACCAATTTTAAGTTTAGTTAGGAAAGTAGCATTTCCAAGTTTTATAAAAACCAGAAAGAGATGAATTTCGAGCGCAATGAAATTGTGATGAAAAAAAATTGTTTGGAGTTAAGAAGTTACTATTTATATGCATATATTTAGCACTAAAATGACAAACAACAATGAAAAGCATAGAATATTAAACTACATTACAATAGTTTAAACTTGGCTGCGAAATGTACTTTACGTACTTTAAGATCCTGAAGAGACACTCTTAGAACCTTCCAGAAATGATTCTAATATAGACTGTAAATTTCTTCTTTAAAGTTCGAATAAATGAAATTCTCCGAAAAAATGAATAAAAGTATGGCCCGCAAACTGATACGATCCATTTTTCAGGAGTTTTGAATTGAATTTCGTGACTCATCCATTGCGATAGGATTACAAAGCTGGTGATTCACAAAAAAGTTTGATAATAAAAGTGAGTAATACTTTCAAAAGGACGGAATTAAGCTATTTATAAGATTAATGGGATCAAATGACGCAGTCTTGAAAGCTTCTGTTTTTTGCTTATCTTAAGATTGCTAATTCGAAACATAAAATTGTTGTGATTAGGTAAAGTTTTAGGTTAACAAAAGTTATTAATAATTGTTAAATTAATACCATTTATAATACATAAAATTTAAAGCTTTTTACTAGTTTATAATGTCAATGGTCCCCGAAAAACAGTGGGTTTTGATAGAGACGTAGATAGAGATTAAGATATAATCAAGGGTTCTAGAGGTCGGAACTCGTCTCAATACAAAACACAACTTACTTTTGAGATAGAAGGTGTATTTTTCAATCATTTTCCGGATGATCCTTTTGTAAAAACCATCTGAAAGTTTAAAAACAAAACTTAATAAAGAAATCTCTAATATGTTGGAACAATAAATGTAAACTTCAGTTTAGAAATACTTTAACCAAATAATAATATTTAAGGTTTAAGGATATCTTATTGACAAAACGTTTATTAAAAGTAGATAAAAGCATTGATAAATGATAGAAGGATGAAAAATATATCATTAAAAGTTACTTCTTTCCCCAAAACTAGTCGTTAAATCCAATTAGTCCATCCTTCTGTACTATTTGCCCTCCAGTATACCACTTTTTCTACTTTGACAGGGTGAAGAACCCCGACTTCCCGCTGATTTTTATTACGTGTATGGAATTTCCCGCAATTCCATCCAATTTCTCCCGTTTCCAGCAACATCAGGAGTATCAATTCTATTCCGTCGTATCTCTCTGGGCAATTAGAACCACTTGAACTGACGCTAATCCTCGAGTGAAATCATCTAGCGTGTGCCACAGACATGGGGCGAATGTTCAAGATATATATGAGGATTGTGGATCTACGGAGTAGATTGGACTTATATGTGGACGCCATCTTAAGTCGTCGGCAGTCATCATCAACAGAGGCTGATTGAGCTCATCCTGTCCATGTGGACGCACTGGTCTTTGCCACTCCAACGGGCAGAGCCGTAAATTATTGATTGGCTTTAATGCCCGGCGATAGATTGCCCCAACTGGTTTTAACAGCTTAATTGAGACCCCATGAAGCAATAAATGCGATAAAGCGACGGACTTGCACTCGGATTCCGACTTGGACTGGACGTAAGTCGTGGCGACTAGGGAAAGAGAAACTACAGTAGGACTTGCTTGGGATTAACTATTTGGAAATTGTGGTAAAATCGGTGAGGTAAAGTAATGCGCATTAAAATCATGGATAACTTATTATTAAATATTTAGTTTAATATTATTTTATTTTAGGGAAGTTTTCAAATTGTAATTTCATAATTCATTTTACTTTCTAGTATAAGACCCTACTTCCTGGTTTAAATAACGCAGATGAAGTACTTCGCAGCTCTTTAAAAGAGAAAAAGTAGATTGAAATTTTCCAAATTTATATGTACATCTAAGTCTAAAGAATATTGTTTTTTATAAGTTGAATAGGTCACAAATATTAGAAAGCCTAAAAAATAATGAATTTCAGTTCAAAGGAGTAATTAATCTTCTATATATACTTCATGATTACATAATATACAATTATATTTTATATGAAAACTCTAAATAAGGCAGGTTTTTATGTTTTCTAACTTTCTTATAGCACCTTTAGATGTACCCGTTAGTTACTTATTACTGTAGTCTTGAGCCACTGAGTGAAAAGACGATGGAACCAAGCCAAAGTCGTGTTCACAGCGGCAACAACAACTAAAACGGGGCGACTGCAAGAGCAACCACAACAACAACAGCAAAAGCAAAGATTGGGGCAACACAACAACAGCAACTCCGGTAGCAGCATCCCAAGTGAATGGGGGGCATTTAAGTTTAATTTGTGTGCCGCCGTCGTCGCCACTCGTTCGTTTCCCTCTCCCTCGCCCTCTCCCTCGCCCACTCTCTGTTTCTCTCATTCGTCCCTCACTGCTCACTCGCTCTACATCATCTACATCTCGTTCTCCTCCTTTTTCGTGAAATCCCAATCCCCACAAGCATTCAGATTTTGTATTCGTTGTTGTTGTCGTGCATTCAGGGCGCATGCCGAAAGCAACAGCAACAACTCGTACCTATGTATGTATGTGCATATAGGTGTATGTATGTAAGTATTTACATATGGATATATCTGCCAGTTGAGTTTTCCCAATACGCACTTCTGTGACGTCATGAGCGACGGCAGCAGCAGCAACAGCATCGTCATAATCATCATCATGTTCATCATCGCATCGCAATTGCCACAAAAGCAAAAGCAAAGCAACAGCAGATGTTTATGTGCCATCGGTTGGGCCAATGTGAGTGTGTGTGTGTGTGCGGAGAGTATATGTGTGAAAAGGTGCATCTGTGTGTGCTAGCAAACATCAAATAGTGCAAACAGGGCTGCCAACGCACTAGTGGTTTATGTGGAAATGCGGGTTACCGCATGAATAGTTATTTTACTACCAATGTTGATTTTGAAAAATATGTAATTTCAATTTTATATACCTGCTTTTCTTGTTGTTTAAAAAATCCTTAAAAAGTCATATTGGTTACTAACCTTTAACAAAATGTCTGAATAGCTTAAAGTAAAAACGTGTAAAATTAAATTATGATAATCTAAAAAGTCACTATGGACACACAAAAACAGAGTCCTGAAATTTTTAAACAATTCTCAAGTCCTGTAATGTAAAACTTTTCTGGGACACTCGACAACCCTGTTAGTTGTTATTGCCTTGCTTTGCTTTTATCTACGCGCCAACAGTCGAGTCAGAATTTCTGCTGCTTTCGTCGCTGCTAGCATAATAATGAGTTTTCTCGCCTCCGCTTCGCCACCACTTTCCACACACCACACCGAGTTTTCCCGGTCGGAAAAACGGGGGATGGGATGGAAAAGGCGAGTAAGGGAAGAAGAAGGAATAGGGACAGTGTAATGCGAAATAATGTTGAAATTATAAAGTGAGGTTGTCAGAGATGCCAGGAGAGATATACAAACGGCCAAACGGAACGGGCCACATGCACTATATGCACAAACATACATACATACAAACATACAAACACACAAACTGGTTGTCAGCGAGGGCACGAAGATGTGTGGAATGGAGAAGGGCAAAATAACGCCGGCAGAGCGAAGCCATATGCGAACGAACAAGAGAGAGGCGCAGAGAGAGCGAGAGAGGGAGCAAAACCAAGCCAGCATAAGGCAAATAGCGAAAAGCAACCAAAGCAAAACTCCGAAATATATGTTGTAGTTGTTTGTATGTATGTAGGTACATACATATGAGGGTCGCTGGCGCCTGCGAAGAGTGGAAGTGGAAGAGAGCACAAGTGTGGAGAGGGAGAGGCAGTAACGAATGCGGGCAACTAAGCGGAAACCAGCTTAAAGCGGAGGTGCCGATACATAAGACCGAAATATTTGAGAAGACTGGGAGGCCAAAAGGTTGGGTAACGCCAGCAGCGACGCCAACAGTGACGCCAGCAGCGTCGTACTCATGCTGAGCGCTGTATGAAAACAAAAGGTAGCCGCCGCTGTTTTTGTTGTTGTTATTGCCTACCTTCTCTCAATTAATCAAAAATATTTAGGTTCATATTTAATTATTTGATTAACTGCTACCGAGTTCCATTCATTCCAGCTGTCCTTTTGCCCTTTCTCTTAACGCTGCAGAAACGGAAAACGGTATGCTGAAACTTTTTAAGGTCTAAGTTCAAGTAGTCCTTTTTACCTTGGCAAATGGTATGAAGTATATCTTACAAATAAAATGTGAGGTAATCTTTTAGATGAAGTACAAACATACAATATAGTCTCTACGAGTTGATGATTAATCTTTGGCTGTTTAATTATTGCTGTTAATTCCTTACTTAATGTAAAAAATAGAGTTATGGTTTGAAAATGATATATTCAGCATATATTTCATAACTCGTTTAAGCTGTTTTTAATCAAACTACAAAAACAAACATCATATAGCATATTTATTTATTTGGCTAATGAAATTCTTTCTAACTTTGATATTGTATAATATAGTTTTTTTAGGCACAGTATTTCGTACAACAAAACTGTTTAAAAGACAAATAACTTTATCAATCTTTTTGAAACCCAACTTAGTTTTACCTATGATTTTCTTAGCTTACAGACTAAGCCCTAAAATACTTTACAAAACCCAATAAGGGTTTTATGAGCATTATTACAGATTTCTGCTTGAAACCTGTTTGACCTTTAATATCCCCAAAAATAAGAATGTTTATAAAATATAAATGTTTCTTAGTTTCAGGCTATAATATCTGACTCTCTGAGTAAGTTTTTCTAAGAATCTTTCTAGAACGCATATCCAAAATATCAATAGAATGTAGTGAAAACTCAATTTTCTTACATTTTTATTTAATAGCAACTAAATCGAGTTTAAATAAATCATTATATACTTTTTTAGATACTAATCTTGTTGTTAGAAAGTAAAGTAAAGTTAAAATTCAAATTGAAGTCAGCTTAAAATCCTAAAGTATAGTATTCTTAATCTTTATTTATAACTTTCTAAAAGTTCAACCAATAGAAGCTTCACTGTATTTACCTTGGCCGAGCACGTGGTCTTACCCCATACTTACTTGCCCAACCGATTTATAAGTCGCCAAAGTTGAACAGAAAAAGTTACCTAAAAACTTGAACCAGCCGGGAGCCAAAGTTCATTCCAAGTCGTGCAAGTTTTTTATGTTCACGCCGATTTTATGCCGATGTCTTTGCCAGAAAAGGAAACGGCTTGATTTGAAGAGGAGAAAGAGTAGGAGGGGTTCGCAAATGGGGAGCTTTTTATTTGGAGGGGCTGTGAGGGCAAAACGCAGAGGAAATCCGGCAGCGGATCAATGAGAACGGGTCCCTCTTCTCGGCTGAGAACTTTGAAGATGTCAGGAAAAAGGAAGGAAAGGTTGCTTCGTAAACCGAAGGAATCAGCCCATTTCACAGTTGAAAGCCGATTTGGACGCACTTAAAGATGCAAAATCAATTTGCCGGATTTGACAGCGGCATGTGTTTAACCTTCTCGGTAAGTTGGGTATACCATCGCGACCAGAAATAAGAGTAAAGATGACGATGATGATGTTCCCCCCATAGCTTATTGAGTTACACATAATACTTCCTTGGCGTTTGATTCACATGTCTATATGGGGAGAAACCCAACATCAAAGTAAAGTTTATCGGAGTAAACATATCAAAGTTATAGTTACATATTTCCAAAAACTTAGGGGTTCTTTGGAAAGATATCAGGTTTTAGAACTAACATCATTTGTCATTCGTTGGTTTGTAGTCATAGTTTCGGAATAATCATAAAGTATGGCAATTCGATCTGATGGTAAACATCCATTAACCCTTTTTGTTTGCTTATTTAAGCAATTTTTAGATACTATAAGAATTATATTATACATTGATTGATGTTAAGTAGATTCTATATTAATAGTTTAGTAAATAAACTAAATGCTTCTTGTTTTTCCAATCAATAATAAACGAAATTGCAAAGTTAAGATGTTAATTTAATAATACAATTGGTTAAAAAATGATTTAACAACATATACCTGCATTATTTTATCTAGATAAATATTACTATATCTTTGGAAAAAAGTCCTTCTATACCAATTATATGGTTAAGTAAGCTTAAAACTTAAAAAAAAGTATAAAAATGTAGTACTTAAAACCTACCTTAAGCTTCCTAAAAGTCGTTAAAAAGCGTAAAAATCTTAAAATTAATTCAAACAAAGAATAAAAATGATCCCCTTGAGTATCTGTAAAGGACAATACAATATCCCATGACAAATGCAGATTTCTGCTCTTAAACAAAATCAAAAGACGAGAAATGTAAGAGGATTATTTCAATTACATGGTTTGAATATATATGCCTAAGGGTTAAATATAAAAAATCAGGGAGAAATCGCATAGAGAAAGAGGGTGGTTAAAGCCCTGTGAAAATATGAGCTACGTTTTCGAACCTTTGACAACCAAAAGCAAACATTTCAAAATGAATTCTCCGAGTGGTTGATGAAGAAGGAAGAAACTTTGTATAGGTCTTGAGTTACTTTATCGAGTTATTTAGATTGATTATAAAGTTCTTGTTAACAAGTATCGTGGAATAAAATAAGTCAATTTTACAACTTTTATACCTCAATATTTCGATTTAAGGTGTCAATGCTAGTGGACAAGAAATTTTATTACAAGCTTAAGAAGATATTATATTCCTTTATTTTCAACATTTTTGGAAATGTTTTGTTCAAAATACGGAGTTCTTTTTTGCCAAAAAAGGCTACCGATTGATTAGCAAAATTTGTCATATTTCTTCTTGGTTCTTAACTCATAATATGGTCAATATAAGTTTAACAGCTAAAAGAAAGACTGCTTTGCGTCGCTAACGACCCAAACTTACTATTTGTATCACACGCTAACTGATTTTGAAAGTTTAATTTTTTGGCAAATTTTCGCATTTTTGATAAGGGGTTACATCATCAATTTCTGATAAAAATGGTTTAAAGTTTACATTTTTAGGTGTGAATAAAGTTTTATTGGAAATTTAATTACAAGTTCAACGAGGTATTGGATTCTATATGGTAACCATTTTTGGGCATTGTTTTGGTTAATATACTAAGTTTTTTGTGCTAAAAATCGGGTAACCGCTTTTTGAACAATATTTTAAACCTTGATCTACGTTTGTACTTAAATTTATCAAAATGAGCTAAAATAATAACTGTTTTGTGATGCTAACAACCAAAACTGACCATTAGTATTACTCCTTGGCTGATTTTGAAACTTTATTTTTTTGGCAAATTTTTGCATTTTTTCATCGAAATTTTCGAAAATACATAAAATTTGACATATCTTGGTGGGGACACAGATTTATTAGAAATTAAATTACAATTTAAACAAGATATGACATTCCGCATTCCGACCATTATTTGCTGTGTTTTGATCAAAATACTGACATTTAAAAAAGATCAGGGCAGACTCAATTTCGCATTTTCCATAAGGGGTTTCATCATCAAAATTTGCGAAAAATTACATAAAATTTACATTTTTGGGTGTGAATACAGTTTTATTAAAAATTTAATTACAAACTCAACGAGATATGACATTATATGTTAAGACCATTTTTGGCATTTTTATGGGCAAAATACTGAGTTTTTTGAGAATAAATCTTAACAATGATTCTTAAATATAGCCTATAAAATAGTCAAAACAAGACGTACAGTGATGGGAACGACTGTTTTGTGCAGCTAACAATCAAAACTAAATATTTCTATGACTTTTCGGTTGATTTTTAACATTTTATTGCGCACTTTTGTAAGGGTT